CACACACACACACAAACACACACACACACACACACACACATTCACACACACACACACACACACACACACACACACACAATGTTTTTAAGGTGTTGTTGCTTGGTGTTAGTGGAGTGACTTCGTTTGTCTATCTCTCTCTGAATGAAACGATATTGTGTACTGTGTCTTTCTGTCAAAATCTCTGTCCTACAGATATATCGACTGAGGGTCTGGTCTGATAAAAGAATAATCTCAGAAAGTTATACTTTGGGTAAGGCTTCAGAATACCTATATTCTGTCGACTAGTGGGCAATGTTTCAATCAGTTTATGACGAGAATGTTCGGACACTAATACATCTCTTTGACTCTAAACTTCACCCTTTTTTTCCCTCCTGTTTGTGTTTATGGTTTGAGTCAGGCTGCCTAATAAGCGCAGTTCGTCAAAAGCATGGGTAATGTTAGAGTGATTCTGGTAGGTCCTACTGGTTTGATTTCCCTCTGTTGTCACGGTCTAGTCTCTCTGTCCTGTGGTTGTCCTGCACCAAATGACCATCATAGTGTTGATGTGCTTCTTTTTGACTTTAAAGAAAACATTAGAAACGGTCCATCATACCCCCTTTCCACACGAATTGCAAGATCACACAGCGGCAGATAACGTCGGCCCAGAGTAATGAGAGTACAAGTGTCGTATGTCCACTGTTCATGAAATTTGAGATAAGACCACTCATGCACTCAAATTCCCATGTATTGAGTCTCCAATAAGTTTGAAGACTCTAAGTACAGTATTTGTTGAGATATCCAGAACCCACGTATCGTATGTCCAAAGCAGATAAAAAAGAAGAGAGTACAACTGTCGGAACTCCATAAGCATTAATTTCTATACATTTTGTTTTGTCGTATCTCCATTTGAGCCAATGAGATGAGAGAGTGCCGTCACGTGATTCTGTGAGCAAAGCAAAATAACGTCGTCTAGAAGAGGACTGTTCAACGATCAAGAGGCCCTAAACGTACATGTTCATTTAATTTGAAAGAGTAGTCTAGTTTGATGAGAGTGTCTGCATGTCTCAAATTCTTTAAATTCTATTGTTGTCATTGTTTTGCAATCATCAGAGCACCTTTAATTGTTTTGTTTTTGTAGTGCCTGCATAGACTTTGTTTGTGCCTCCTCTTTTAACGTTAGTTGTGGTTCTGTGCCTGGTATTTCGGGAGGGGGAGGGGCGTCCCAAAGCTTGGTTCTTTCTATTTTTATTTTCTTTAGTTTGGCTACAGATTGCTTGTATTTCTACCCTCTCTGTGAGTTGAGTAGAAGAATCTCCCCTGCCCCAGGAGACCAAACACTACCGGTTGTGCACGTAAAATCAAGACATAGCTGCTGTTATACTTTTTATTGTTTCTGTACATCTCCAATTATTGTTGCCTCAATTCTTACGAACATGGGTGTTTGGTTGTCACAATTTGCAGAGTCGTGTATCTGAGTTTTTACTTTTGATTGTAACATCTTCGGCTCATTTTAGCAAAAGGCACATTGCTTGATAGTATTAGTAATGTGTGTGTGTGTGTGTGTGTGTGTGTGTGTGTGTGTGTGTGTGTGTGTGTGTGTGTGTGTGTGTGTGTGTGTGTGTGTGTGTGTGTGTGTA